CAAAGAGCTTAGTATTTGACTTTCTAGAAAGGGTACAACAGCTTGCGTAACAATTTGAGCACAAGTAAAGGCACATAAGTGAAATTGCAATGACTCCTGGTATTGCTGGCCCTTATCAGCAATTCTTGAGCCAAGTATGGGCCACTTGGCACGATACATGTAGTAGTAACCATGTTCACTCGAAGGCAGTGGGTGCGATGGTTCAAGGGATGCGTTTGAGAACACTTTCCAACGCTTTCTCGTCGATGAACTCTAATTACCTCATCAAAACCGCTCCGCCCCTCGGCCATCGCACCCTTGCCTCTATATGTCTATGGTTCAGCCTTCTACGACTTACCCTCCCATCACTGGTCGTGCAATCGGGGTGCGTTCACTCGGATGGTTACTCCCATCAAGGTTGTGGTACTTGTTACGCTGTTGCACCTGAAATAGAACATTGTTCGACAAAAACAAATTCTGAAGCGTTGTTCCAGGCAGGATATCATTATCACAAGATGGCCGCTTCTTCCGGCGGCAACAGGACAAGTGGGAGGCAGTACGTATGTGAAAAGAGTCAATAAAAATCTGACAGCTCACGTGAAGGGGAAAGCTCAACTGAACAAAGACCTTTTCCCGAATTGCTTCAAGCCGAATCATGAAATGCGTTGGTATCCGTTCCGTTCCAATTATGGAGGCACTTTGATACTATTAACGCCGGTGCTCGGTAAATTTGAGTTAATGGCTTTGTTCCTATCGACGAGCCTTTATTCACAAAGGGAGCTCAAGTACGCAGTAGTGACCCTCCTGAATAGCGAAGCATGCCATAAGGTCACTGCTTGATAGGTCAAGCCGGAAAACTTGCTTTGATTTAGAAGCATTCAGCTTTCAAATTTTCGTTCGTCTTCCATAGAGACATGGAACATGTAAAATTACCTTGGGTAGCGTCATGTATGGAAATCGGCTCACCTGGTAAACAATCATCGCGATCAATGCGATACCCAAAAGATGCAGAGCGCCAACAGACCAGTTACGTCTCAGGAGACACACTGTGATCCTGAATAAATAACGAGGCCTATCAGTGCGTTGTTATACAATGCTAGAAGAGTATTTGAAGCAGAGTTTTTCTCGAATCTATAGAAGATTACTTGACTCTTTCGTTCCGTATAGATTACATAAAATTTAAAGCTTTGGATCTGGCGTTCATTCTATTCGCGAAGATTCGATTTGTGAGATTGAGCTCAAGCGAGTTCATAAATAAGCCTTCGTCACAAAAAATAATTGAGGTGTCCTATAATTAGTGACGACTTTAATTGTTCGTTATTAAAAATCCAAGAAAATGGTGAAGGCGTGAAACATGTTTTGCGAAGTAGCATCCACATTATCCTACCTGAGCAATTACTCAGCCCATTTGCATGCTGCCTTCCGTGGCTGATACTTCAATTTTTCTGAAACCTATTTTTGAGCTCCTTCTTAATCACTTCTGATTAGGATCTTTCAAACGCTAGCAGCATAGTGAATCAACCAGCAGAGAAGCGAGGGCACGCTCGCCCAACCCACGGTGCACTTATGATTCATACTATTCCGGGGTTCAATTTATTATTTGAAGATGACCCACACTCCAGGTATCATTCAACTGTTAATCTCACCGCCCTAGCCAGGGCCACTAAGAATGAAAGTGGACAATTCATTCGCTATTTGTCAGAGCGTATCCAACTCGTTAAGATGATGGAACATAGACAACTCCGTGGAGCCGCGAGGATTTAAAAATATAGAATTTGTTGCCCCCGTGGTTTGTGGCCCGAATCAGCTCCAAACACGAATCTGACATCTCATGTTCCTTCTGATCTCCATAGTTCCTTACAATGATCATTCAGCATAATCACCAGGATTGTGGACTGGGTGAGAGTGCTATCGAATCCACAAGGAGCGGGTAGTGTAGCTTGAACGAATCCGGAGCTCTGACAGCAAAAGCCCAACCTCCTCTAAGTCTGACCTTTCCGAGACATTCGTGGAAACAAGAGAAGGACCTTGCGCTGGGAACCGCCGCCCAGTAATACTAGGTCACTGAAGAAGATCAACATCTACAGCGTAATGGCGACGCATTCAATTTGAAAGTAAAGCAAGACAAAGTCTGCTTTTTTCCTGAGGTCGTTCGACCCCACCTTGCGGAGAATATTCATAAAAAATTAGAGACTCTCAAGCTAGCACTTCTTTCACTTCCTCTGTGTGGCCCTATCTTGTAACAGAGAGCAGTGCCAGTTGCTCTACGCTCTCCAGGAAGAAACTTTACGCTAAGTGACATGACCTCAAACTCGACTTCCGATCTTTCTTCGATTAATAGCTCCTGGAATTCTAGAGATAAGACAGCAACATAAATTTCCTTGTTTAGGCAATACATTGTAGATGACAGAGATGTATGTTTGGATGAGCAAAGACTCCACATAAAAAAGAAAAAAAAATTGAATTCAAAAATACCCAAAGTGATTCACTAATTATGGGACAACCTAATAGATACTTGAGGATGTCTATGACCTGATTAAACTAGTTGATATTGCAGTAAGAATAAAAGCAGCAGCAACAAGAATCCTACCTCGCTCCAATTACTGTCGCTTGCACGCTGAAACTTTCTTTGTGCTCTCTCAGCTTCGACAAGGCCTCTTTCAGTCAGTCGAATGTAAAGAAAAATCTGACAATTCGTGATGGTGTGGTATTTTTATGTTATTAAAGATCCACGAAATCTGATGAATACCTTGTCCAAAGTATTCTGAAGCTTATCTCCAATTTCCATGACCACAGATGCGGTGACGCTTTCTTTCAGTGCGCTCTAAAAACGTAAAAGATTAAGAAGCTAATAAATATCAACATTCATCAACGATTGTAAGAAAAAATATTCTCCAATACCACCTGCACCTCCCTTCAGCTCAGTTCTGCTTTTCATACTGCCGTATTTCTGTGTGAGCTCTTCTTCAAGGTGTCAAGTCTGTCTTTTTGCGCCTGAATTACACACATCCTACGCTACATTTTTGCATTATGAAATTAAATCTATGACGTTTTCTAGCATAATTGAAAAATAATCAAGCAGGCGTCGTGACTCTGGTGAGTCGCTAAGCTCGATGCATTGCATAAATTACAAAAATGGTTCAAGTTTCAGCGTCAGGGGCAGGTTAACAGGCCGGCTGATGAAGGCCACCGTCACACGAAAACATGTCTAAAGTTGCAAAAGGTATCAGCGATGAAGCTAGGACGTCACCGTACCCCGCCAGAGTTCTGTGGTCTTCATGCGAGGGCTACCGAGAGTGAACGACCTCGCGCAGGATTATTCAATTCATACCTCCGAGAAAAACATTCGAAGGAACCAAAGGCCAGCGGTTGATAACTCTATCAAATTGAAGAGACACTAACGAACGGTCGGTCATACGTACGAGTCCTGTAAAGGATTACGCCTGCTGTAAAAGGTCAGATCATAAATGGCTTTAGGCTTCGTGCTTACTCGGTACTCTTCGAGTACACACCGCAAGCCGGTTGCACGAAACTGCGGAAGACGAGTTCTTCTGAACCTCTGAACGATGCCAGAAGATCGTCTCAAGAAAGTTATTTCCTTACCATATCAGGTGGTTCTGAGGGGCCACATCTGCGTGATAGGAGACTGGAAAGGGTATAGGGTAAAGGAGTAAGAGCGAGAAACGCTGAGGAGATATGAATCTGGGACCTGGCTACAGCTCATGAGCTGCGATCCTGTATGCACGTTCTCCGAAAAGGCAGACCAAGGTGATGCGTAAGTACAGGCAGTGTAGAGACAAACGAAACCGACCGCGTTGGTGAAAAGACCATCTCTTAGAAGTGTAAAGGACGTGGGTACTCCTTGGCGGAAAACTGCCTTCCCAGCACAGCCCTCTCTTGAAATACATTACCATAAGCACCCAAGGAAGACTAGGATACGAATCGACAGGAAAATCGCAATTGGTGGAAAATGCACAGAACGTGGAAGAAAGATCTTACAAAAAGGGTGTTGGAAAGTGAACTCCAAAACCCCCATGGATCAGTCCTGCAGACTTGGAGCAGGCCGCTGAGGTCATTATGCGTAAAAGAGGATTTGTGTGAAAAGCGAGAATGGGTCTGGGACAAGGTACGCAGCTGAAACGGGAAGCCACTGAATTGTTAAGCGGAAAAGAGGCGGCGTACAACTTCGTCAAAAAGAAATCACGGGGGAAGCAGAACGCAGAGAAGTTCATCTTCAGGCTGGCTAAAGACCGCCATCGAGCTAATCACGATATCAGGGTCCTCGAGAGTGGAAAGAGCAGCAACGGCGCCATCCTGAGGAAGCCAGCCAAAGGGAGATGTGAAGGATACTACAAGCCGCGGGAACGAGAGATCCACAAATACACTGCAAACAGAGACATGCAAACCTTCAAAGGATGAGTTCCCGTCGAGAGTATGGAGAGATGTAGTTGGGAGGCGGGTGTCCAATTGTGCTCCAATCGAAGCATGAAGGCACTTGGGGAGTATGGAATAAGATGGCTCACCCGATCACGCTAGGGATAGAAATGGATAGTCTGAGAGCTTTACAGTGCTCCAAGGCAGGAGCATAAATGAACGAGACGAAACAGTATACCGAACGAGAGACTACACGTAGCTTTTTCTGTTAATGTGCGTGGTTACTTGAGGTATGCGCGCGGTTACTTGAGGTATACTAGGATGAGTTCTAAGCCCTTCAAGTGACCTCTCCATGCGTCTTGAGTCGATCGTAGCCCCGCAAATATTTAGGTGTTGCGACCCGAGCGACTACATCTTTATGGAAATTTCAATGAGACAGTCAAAGATAGTGACTGAGTAAGTTTCAAGCCCGCGTGCATATCTCGAGAGGGATGTCGCTGAGACGTAGCAGTCAATACTAGAAGTACACTATTTTACTCACTGAAAGATCGTTTTTAATCTGGTTGATACGATTTTCGAACTCATCACGGCGTTGTTGGCGTGTCTGATTGCGTGCAGCCTGCTGTTGTCTGATGATTTCCTTGATTTCATTCAAAGTAGATCATTTTTGTAAACTTTTCGAAAGCTTAGAAAAAAAGGTATTTATTTGCATCACTACCGTTGACATTCTTACCTCCTTTCGTCGTTCTTTCTGAGCATTGCTGGAGTCGTTAAGCTTTCCTTGAATGTCTTGAAATTTCTCCAGTGCCTTCTGCCAGGCTTGTCGGAACTGCTAAAAAAATGAAGAATAACTAGCCGCCATTTTCATTAGCTCCTACATTACTACCCACCTCCTTTTCCTTTTCCTTTTCTGCTGCTTTCTGTTCCTTGTTCTTGTCATATGCTTGCTTGAGTTGGTTCAGCAAATCGCGGATTTTCTGAAACAGAGCCAATTAACGAATTGTTATTGCTAGGTGTTAATTTGTGTTTTCGCATGTTTTGAATTATTAATAGTTGAGCTACGACACACATAGTCATAGCGGGTTCCTCACGATCCTAGCAGATAAACTGGATAACTTGTCGGCACTGATCAACCGCTGCGTGTTGTTTTTATGATTTCCATTCAACTTTGTAGGTTCTTCGCATGTTTTGAATACAGACATTCCCATGATAAGAGTTACAGGAGACATCCATTTTTGTATTTGAGGTTTCTTACCGCGCAAACCTGGCATTATTGTAGAAGCACTTAGAGCGAAATTCAAAGTTAGGTAAGCATCTTGTTGGAGGCAGCGTGTGGGTCGCATGAGAGAAAGGAGCGAAGAGTTATCTCTTCTCTGCAGTTGAATAGATAGTATGCCATAACACTGGCAGTCATTGCAATCGTTGTGAAAGTATCTCTCAATATCTCTCAGAAGCCGGTGACAGCTCAGCAGATCGCTAGCAAATTCAGTGGGGAGCGTTGTGTCAACGGTTTGCACGACGAACCAGCGACTCGATAGTGTGGGAAAGTTGAGCGAGTCCCTCTCGCTATGAACGTTGAGTCTCGTCACTTTCTCTTTGTTCTAACAGGGCATGAGAACAGAGTGAAAAACGTTCGAGGAATTCCATGGCTGTAGTGTTGGAGACAGTTGCCGAGAGTGAACTACTGTGGCAAGTAGCAGACGACTCGCGCATGACGCTGTGCGAGCGCAAAGGAGAGAGTAAGTGATCAGGCAAAAATCCTCTATAAGCCGTTGCGGAATCCTCGACCGATAGTCACCCTGCATGAGAGCGCGAGAGAAAGTGGCGAGAGTCAACATGCGCGCGAGAGAGACTCTCGCCTTTCTCACACACTGTCGAGTCCTGATGATGCGTAACCGAATCTGGGCGCAAATAACACCGTACGCATCGCGATTCGAATGATTCGCAAAGTCTGACACAAGCCAAAGCGATGGCTTACGGGCACGGTGCCGCGCAAGTCCACGCAACGAATGCACGTACGAATATGCTGCTGCATTTAACTATTTATAAGTGGGGCTGTGCCATAGTTGCTCCGCAGCAAGATTCTGCATCACAGTCTAACAGGAAAAATGGTGAAATGTTGCACTGCAAGAGAGGGGACACCAACGTTTCCTTCCGCCTCACGACCATGCCGCTTTCGAAGAGGCAAGCCAACCCTATATCGATTAATGACAAGAATAAGCTGGAACACGCGGATTAGCCATTCATGTGGGCAGAACACCCATGTTGTTCAAAAATGAACGCAGAGGTGGGAGGTCGACGCTGGCCAAAGGAAAATGGAAAATAGCTAGCCGAAAAAAAAACTAAAATTCAAGGTCACCTCTTTCGGAGTGGATGTGCTACGATGAACAGACATCAAGTGCTGAGGAGAGGGAGCATGCTAGATGATTGAACATGAACACCCGACTGCATAGAGGCAATGCTTCGCGACCTGGGTGGCAGCAGAGTCAACCCTGCGTTGCGCAGTTCGCAACGGCACGTTGAGAGATCCTCAACGCACGCTGTATGGGCGGAGACACAGACGGCTCGAGCATGCGAGTGTGAATGTTCGCGCGAGAGAACGTGTCTAATCGGGCGAAACTGCGCAACGCAGGGTTGACTCTGGGTGGCGGTCAGCAGCCGTCATGAAAAGGCCCACACCGCCCCTGCCGCGTGGTTCCAAGCCTTGAGGATAGCAAATCTTTGACCTCCACGAATAGATCTGCCCTAACCATGAAAGACGTTCCTCCATTGGTCTAATCGCGTATGCGCCTTTGAAAGACATGTCATGCGCTAACGTGTTCTGCTTTGTCAACATCGTCCACAACGAAACGTTTTGTGTAAAACACCTTTTTAATACTATCACCTTTTTTTCTTCTTCTATTTTAGTTTCTTTTGCGACTTCCCATGCGGCTTTCGTTTGATTTATGCCGCGTACGAGATTCTTCCACTCTTCCATGGCCTGTTTCTTGTCAGTGTACTCCTGCGCTTTGTAAGCCTAAAATCAAAAGTGGCAATGTCAACAAGGTAGTGATTGCACATTATTTCCAACTACACTTGTGTGTAAAACTCAAGGAGGAGGTAGGTAAGACACGTAGCATAAGGTTCTAATTTAGATGGATTTGTATGAAAGTATGTGTGTCGCCATGTTGTCCAAAATCTTCCAGTTATGCCCAGAATTGACATCAATTTGGTAAGGTCGACTAGAATGTGGAGTCAAATGGAACTGGTCGCACAACACGAAAGGTTCTCCGGAACAGGAAAGGTGAGTGTATTAATCAGAGGGCATTTATTGAGCTCTGTGAACCTTGAAGGACGAGCCAAGAGCTCGATACTAGGGATGAGAGGGATCGGTGTTTTTCTCAGATAGGAGCAGATCCTGTGTGAGTAATCATTCTGGACGTACCATGTGACGGCCCCCATGTTGTGGTATAGGGTGATTGGCATTCAGACTTCCGAATGCCTATTCTTTCCAATGCCTGTCTCTTCAAAGGTGAGTCCGACTTCACCTTCATTTCAATGGGAACGATGTGCAACCTCATCGAACAGCCCAAGGAACACGTGAGGGATGCATTTGGGATCTGTATTGCAGCACCTCCCCTTGTACCAATGACTGTCCAGCAGTTATCAATTGCGATGTTCGACTAAATAACGCCGCTTACAAGAATCCTTTAGCAACCTTGTGGCCAGTAGAATAGCACCTTGCAAAGCGTTGCCGTCAGTAGCTTCACATACTCTATTGAGGTGAACTTCCTGCCTTATGAAGGGTTTTCATGAATTGCGGTGGCTTCAGTGTGATCACTGGCTCTGAATAATGCTTTCTCGTCGTTTCTGGATACTTCTGCCAGCAACCCCCGGGCTGTGTCATAACAATTCTTCTCCAAGCATAACTAAAATTTAATCGGGCTGTGTTACTTAGCAGTGTCCCGCGAAAGTTACTTTCTCTTTAAGTTTTGTACACAAGTGTATGGAATGGTGGGAGTCAGTGATAAGGGTCTAGAAAACTCGACCTCTTCAATTTCACGAAGTTTATCAAGCTTCCCGCTCAGAGCGTCTTTGAGCTGTTGTGCGGTGTTCTTTACGTAATCAGAAATTTGATTTTTCAATTGGCCTTTTTTGTTTCTGAAAATCGAAGACGCGAATAAGCATATTACCTTCAATCATAAAACTGCCAGAACTGGAACGCCTCAAATCACTTACTTGGCTTCCGCTAAGTCGTTTTTAATTTCTTCTTCTAGAGCTCGATCCACATTCAATACTGACTGGAAGTTAGAAAACTTTTTTAACGTGTTCCACGTGCACGGGCTGGAATGTCTTCAAGGCTATAGGCCCTATCAACCTTTGCCCTTGACCTGGGCTGAACTCAAACCTGGATTATTGATGTTGCATCGTCTGCTTGTGCTAGCGCAGTTGCTAATAATGTGGCAAAGAAAAGCAGTGGTGTTATATGTCGCATCTGAAAACATCTGCCACTTGTCTATTTTGATTTCTCAGCAATTAAGCGTTATCACGAAGTAAGGTGTCAAACCAAAAACTAAGGACGAAATGAATAAAAGAAAGTGTCGGTAAGGAGCCTGCACGAGCTGAGAACGAGTAAAAGGTACAGGAGCATTCACTGGTTGGCTGTCTCTGTATACTCTGCTAATTAAGCATTATATTAACACGATGACGACCATGTAACATGACGTCATGTCTCACTTTCGCACGGAGCAGACTGGCTTTGCTAGATTTATTTGGAGTTTTTCTTGATTCAAAGCCATTCATGTAATTATTAGATAGAAAAAGTAGTTTGTTCATCACTGACTGGACTCATTGAAGGATTAATGACTACTTATGGTAAAATACGGAAAAAGTTGGCCAAAATACAAGCGGGCGTCAGTGGGTTAATTACGACTTGGTTCAAGTTTCATACATAAATGCGTTTCAGTAGTATACGTCCACCCATCATTTTTCCAAAACGTTCCTTAAATAACTGGTCCAATTTAGCAGCACACATTATCGGATTCGTAATATAAGAAAACGGTAACGGTAACATTTTTTCCGACAGGCAAGTCCACAAGAAAAATTTTTAGAACTATTTTTCCGAATTTTGACCGTTTACCCTTGACATACATATACAGGGGGGCCAAAAAAAAAAGTCACTCCCGCTCACATTCAAAACAGAATTAATTACACTTTGCGTAGCATAACAATAATGGCACTGTTTTTTCACTTTCCCAGCATGAACCACTGCTCTAACACTTTGTTCTCCTCGGGATTTCAGGAATGTTTCATCATCGAAGACAGACCATGTTTTTGCACTACACTGTAACAAAGTTTTTGGCTATTGTCTATTGTACTCTTGATCTATGCCGCGGAGCAAAAGCGCCGTCCGGATAGCGTCGCTTAAGGATAATAAGCTGATGGTGAGACTTATAGTGCTCTGCATGCTTTAATGCTCCCATGGAGCTCATGTCTGTGTGACTCTCCGACAGCGTGCAGAGCTCCTGGAGAACATTAGAGGCTGAAAGTGCACTCCCGGACACTGCACTTTTCAAGCCGTCTTGCAGCCCGTCTGTGGATACGACCCCCTCCCTTTTCGGTCGGCTGAATACGACCCCCTCGTTGTTCTTTGCGCAACGCAGGGTTGACCCTGGTCCCCTGGCTTACGAATTTCCTGTTGCCGCAACGCCCCGCGCGGCGGCTGCCCCCCCCTCCGAGCCACATTGCGCCCTTTTATGTCTTGATTAATACTTTCCAGTTGTTCCGCGGGCGAGCGACGTCGTGAACCCGTCGCACAACTCCGGGTGGATGTGGCCATACCGGGTGTGTTGGTCGTAAGCAATTTTGTTTATTCATATGAAGTGAGTGCAAAAAACATCGAAAAAAAGAAATACACCAAAACCAAGATTATCGACCGGAGCGCCCCATCTGCGCCCAGCGCACGCGTCATGCGCCAGAGCGCGTGTTGACGCTCTTCACACTGTCGGTGCGGTCGGCGCCGTCGGACGACTATCATCGCTGTGCCCTCTTCAACGCTACGCTCTCTCACCTATCTAATCACTCACCACGTATAGACCTGCGGCGAGTGATCAGATGATCGGTGGGCGTGCACTGACCAGCCGCGGCGGGATTAAACCTTAATAGGTCAACGAGGTCAACTCCTCCTGTGCAAATTGTGCTTCAGTTCGCACACTTAGGAGCTCCGCGGGTCCCTCAACCAGGTGAATTCTTCCTAATTCGATTTTCCCTCTGATCGTGAATTCGTCCTTTAAGTTGAAACGCAACTGTAGCATGATCACTAGTTCCTATGGGTGGCAAGATTTTAGTTTGGTTGACTAATTGGGAGAATTGCAAGAAGACAAAGGTCAAGACAAGATTTGCCTTCTGGTAGGGCCGCGGACTAACTGCGTGAACTTGTGAGATCGAAAGGTCTCGACGAGATCCTTGGATAAAGACTTGTCCGACCAGTCTCCATCCCAAGAAACACGTGGAAGGTTGAAATCACCGAGAACGAGGATAGGACAATTA